AGGTACCTGTGAAACTTGCTGATATGAAATATTTCTATCTTGACACCAACTCCCTCCAAACTATGAATTTAAACCTCCAAACACCTATTTACAAGAACAATGTACAAACCACATGTATGATCCAAAACAACGATAATGCATGATGAAATCGTTCCCATAATGCAACAACATATGAAATTAACCTAAATTAATGCATGAATGTAATGATATTTTATCCACTCATCAGTATGATCGGTTCACTGTTATACTTAACCTCTAGTCGTACTGACATTATGCATAATGTTTGTATTTGTGCACGTTTTCAATCTACTCCTAAGGAATCACATTTAATTGTTATAAAAAGGGTATTCAAATACTTAAAAGGTACAAAAAATCTTAGTATGTGGTATCCTAGAGGTGCTGAACTTGTTTTAACGGGTTATAGTGGCTCTGATTTTGGGGGATGCAAAATTGACCAAAAAAGTACTAGTGGAACTTGTTATTACTAGGATGTTCTTTAGTGTTATCACATTCTAAAAAATAAGCATGTGTAGCATTATCTACTACTAAAGTTGAATACATAACTGCATGGAGTTGTTGTGCTCTCAATCAATTTGGATTAAGCATTAATTAGAAAACTATGGTATGTATCTAGAACATATTCCTTTAAAATGTGATAATACTAATGCTTTTAATCTTACTAAAAATCCAATTATGCACTTCAGAACAAAACATATAGAGATAAGACATCACTTCATCAGAGACCATGTAATTAAGGGTGATTGTAAAATAGAGTACATTGACACAAATCAACAACTAGCATATATTTTCACTAAACCATTTTCTAGGAAAAGATTTTACACCATTAAAAATGTATTAGGCATATTAGATATCAATTGTATTGCATAAAATCTTGTTTGCATAATTTTCTAATATAAATAATCGATTATTTCTTAATATAATTGGTTAAAATGATGTTTTTCATAATTCTATGAGGTGTCCTGTTAATTGATTAATTTCAAAATAATCGATTAAAATATATTTTGATAACTCTATGAGGTGTGTTACTAATCGATTATTGTTAATATAGTTGATTAAATTGAATATCTTCATATTTAAAGGCTTATCAACTTATATAACAATTATTATAATTGCATAATTATTTCAAATAATTTGTTAATGCACATTTATCTTTCTCACCTACACCCAAAAGTTTCTCTAACCTATACTCAGTGTTATTTGTCCAAAAACCTAGCTTCTCTTATTCCAAAAAGAAAAACACCCTTCTTGTTGCTCTTGTCTCCATAACTTTATTTCTTCAAAAGATTTTTGTTGTTCACTACTCTGTTTCTGATGAAATAGCTTCCTCTGCAAAAACCAAGAGGATGAAGAAAATGACGTTAAAGAGAGCATCAAGAACTGCTTCTGTTGAGGGTTGGATCAATGATGAAGAATAAAAGTAAGAATATCTTGTCCATTGGAAGGAACAAAAGCTTATTACACACAAGTGTCTCTTTATTTCCTTCTTTAGGAGTAATGTTTTTTTGTTTCAAGATTTATTAATCTATCAGGGTTTAGCAAAATTTATTAAGTTATATGGAAAATTTTATCCAGATCTAATCAAAGTATTTTACTCCAACATGAAAACAATAAATGGTGTTATACATTCTAGAGTAAAGGGAGTATATATAACATTAGATGAGGAAATTTGGACTAATGTTACAGGCTTTATTATAGGAGGAGAAATTCTCACAAGGGGATTAAAGGATTTTAACAAATTAGTTATTTTTAGATCTTGCCTTAGGAATCCAAACGTGGTCAGGAACTATTCATTTTATAAAACTGGGGGAATGAAAAAAGATGAGAGATTATTAACTTTTGTTATTACTGGATCCTTGTAGCTAGGGGGAACAATCATGCTCAAATGACTTCAAAGGACTTGTATATATTCGACACCCTTAAAAGTAGGCTCCTAGTTGATTGGCCTGCAATTGTGAGTAACAACATTAGGAAATCCTACATGTTATCCTTTTACCTCTACCATATTTTGTTTTTCTATCAAAAGTGTTTGAATTTGTTGGTGTCAATCTGGATGGAGAATCCTTCACTATAATGAGTCATGCAAATGAGATTGGAAAGTCTACCCTTCATCATATGAAAATGGTGAAGAGGGATGATGGATGGTTCTTTAAAGATGAAAAAGAGTTTATAGATGAAGATGTTGAACCAATCAGTACAGATATTCCTACTTCTATTGCTAGTAAAAATTTCTCTGCCTTTGAATAAGTCATGTTAGAAAAATTGGACAACATACATACTTGGCAAAAGGAAAAACATGAGATTTATTGCTCCCAACTGGATAGTTTAGATGGTAAAGTGTCATATATTCTGAGAACGCTACAAAGAGACCATAGTGGCATTGAACAGGAGGAAAGTGGCAGTGTAGATGGTAAAGGCGACACAATGGAGCTCTCGTATGATCACAAATGATTGTTGTTTTTATTCTCTTTAATCCTTTGTTATAACTTGTTTGAACAATTCATTTAATTGTTTGTAATATTTTATTTGACATGTTGGTTTGTAACTTGTTATCTTATATAACTCTTTGAACCCTTTATTATATGATTTGTGGACATATATGCACTTAATTAAACTGTATTATTATATTTTTACTTCATTTTAACCCTTTTTTTATCAAGTCTAAAGAAACAGAAAAGTTTATTGCAGGTATGTTGGTTGGTCATCATAAAAAAAGGGAAAGATTGTTAGTAATTTGATATCTTTGATGAAGATTTGGTATCTTGATTATTTCCTTTGGTGTATTTTTTATGATGTCTAGTAGGTAGTTGTGTTTAGAAATTATAAAGCTAAATGATTAAATCGATTTTGAATTTCTCTAAATATACATGATAATCAATTAACTTCAAGACTAAAAGCTGATGATCGATTATGTTGATAATTAATCGATTATATAGCTATGTTTTTATACTACACCAAAATAATCAATTAAAATTGTTTTAATCAATTATCTAAATCAGTTAAAACTATTTCAGCTCTTTAGATTAAAGAAAACTTTTGTCAATACAAAACACTTTTTGAAATACAATCAAAATTCAAAAAAAAGAGTTGATGTGAACAATGAAATAACTGCTTAGGTTGTGAAACAATATGTTAGAATCATATTTAAAGGTTAAGTCATTTTGGTTATAAGAACATGTGTATTGTATAATTCAAATTCCGGTGATTTTGTTCATTTCTTATATTTTGTTTGGGTATTGATGATTGTGAGGAGAGCATCATCAAAATTTCTTGAAAATTGTGAGGATAATATTTTGAGTTTTTTATTAGATCTTATTAAAATGTTTGTCTTTCAAGATCTACATCTTGTTATTGGGTTTATATTTCAAAGGTGAATATTTATAATCTGAATCTTTAAAAGTTCATAGTGAAAATTTAAATTAAGATTACTTGGATAACTGGATATAGATTATCTGAAATTGAACAAATATAAATCTTTGTACTCTTATCTTTTCTTTCTTTATCTTGATGTCTTAAAAAAAGTTGCAACATATTTTATTTCAATTAGAATCATATAAAAAGATTCATTAATTTTTATTTTTAGATGAAAAAGATCAAGATAATTTTTTAAATTTTATATTTATACACTTTTTCTAAGGACACTTTACATAAATTTTATATATTTTCTCATAACATGATTTTATAAAAATTATTTTATAAAGTAGAGTTTATCATTTTTAGATACATTTAAGTCTGTGATTATTTTTCATGTAATAAATTATTACTAGTTTGTTTATAAAAAAATTATATTCTTGTTGTATTTAGAAAAATTGAAAGGTTGTAGTATTATAAGAAAGTGATAGGTAAGAAATGGGATGTAAAGTTGTGATAGAGTCATCCATTCACTTAATATATATATATATATATATATATATATATATATATATATATATAATTATTAATTAGACCTATAATAGGTGTGGTACACATAGATAAATTTATTTTATTTTTTATTTATTAAAAACAATTATAATTAGATGAGTTAGAGACCCTGATTCATTTTGTAAAAATTGCAGGTTAATCTATTAATTATATATATAATATTTTTTAAGAAATATATTTGTTTTATATTTTTATTCATTGATTAATATATTTTATTTAATAAATAAAAAATTAATATATATATATATATTCAAATATTCAAATATAATTATTAATTTAAAATTAATTTATTAATATTTATTATTCAAATTATTATAATATTATATGTTTATATATTTGAATCACATAATATAAAAAAATAAAAGATATTTAATCATAATTTATTTTATTTTTATCTTTAAAAAATAAGCCAAGACCTAGTTAATTAGAGGGGACCTAATCTATTTTCTAATTTTAATAATTATTATTATTATTATTATTAACAATAATAAACATATATTTGCCAAAAGAAAATCAGAACTAAATTTGATGCAAATAAGTATTAAATAGAAGAATGGTAAATGATTAATGTTAAAGTTAATGAAACATCAACTAAGAATTGTAAATTTTGACATAGATCTATACATTTGGAAGCAAAACAAAGTTGTTGAATTGGAATTAGGATAATTTAAAAAAAATATTAGTTATTTTTTATTTATTAAGAAATAAATAAAGGTAAAATAGAAAAAAATTATATTTGTATTCATGTAATTTTTTAAATTTCTCTTTATTATTCTATTTTTTTCGAAAGTATGGATTTTTTTTTAAAATATGTTCTTTTATTTTATTTTCAATGTTAATATTTAATAATAATTTTATCATCACAAATTAAAAAAAATATTTTAAAATTTAAAAGCTAATTAATAAAATTTTAAATAATAAAATAAAAATAAATTTGAGGAATAATATAAGAAATAAAAATCTATTTAATCTAATATTTTACTAAGAAGAAGAAAAACAATAGGTTTATAAAATAATATCAGACGGTTAAAAAAAGAAATAGAGGGAGCAGTAAAAATATAATGTACGTTAGAGATACATGTAAAAGAATAAGTAGTGATGGGAAAGCAGTGAACGGAGGTCAACTCGCTCATCCTGGCCGTTACACCCTCCGATTGCTGTCATCATGGTATAGACTTCCATCTCAGGTTCTCTCTCTTCTCTCTCCTGTAACACCTTTTTTTTTTTTTCTTTATGTGGCAATTGCGATGAGATTTCTCGCACTCAGAGAAACTAAGTTCTATTCTATATATTACTGTTTTTATATGGAAATTGATGGAAGTAACAGAGAGTGATTAGAATACTGTCGCCAGGAACAATAAAATTACATTACATGTCTATTAATGCTTTCTTTATCTGGGAATGATGACTTTTCATGGCACTAACTCATCAAATTTTTACATTTCGATTTCGTGAGTAGCTATGTTTATGTTTTTGGCCTCAACTCCTACCTACTAATGATTGAATGGATCTGCTCTTGGCACAAGCTAGGGTTTCCATTGCTAAACCAGGTAGCTTACAATTTTAAAATAAAAGAGATAAAATCCCAACAATCCTCTTGTTGCGGCTGAAAATCACTTCATACAGTGCAGGAACCCTAACTAAAAACATCAACATTTGGCATAAATAGTAATCATATATGCAGTAGCCCAAATAGAAACTCAACATTTAACTATAATTGACGCCTGTCAGTCCTGCATAATCCCTTACTCATATTTTAAGACTTGTATAGTTACAGAGGTTATCTCCCCTCCCTATTCCCCATGCTTGGTTTCCTTGTCAGAGCAGTATGATTGGTAAACTTCTGGATTGCTATTTGGATGCTGTTAATCTAAACCTAACATACCTATATTGATTATATTCCTTAAAAGTGTGGCATGTTTTCATGATTAGTTTTATTTTTAACTTAGAAATGCATATTTACTCCAAGAGAAATGTTTGCAACACACATTTTACCATCGACTAAAATTTATTGGAAATCTCAAAATATTTTGTGGGTCTCGCCTTTCATTTAATGAACCTCGCCTATGATTTTGTAGTTTTCATAAAATTTTAACCTATCATAGAGTTTTAGACAGAGTAATAACACTCATCTGATTCTGACTTTTTAGCGATACACCCTTATATGCTCACTTCAAAGACAACTCACTTTAGAGGAACATTTTTTTATAGTAGATTTAGGTCTTCTTTGCCTAAATGATCGTCTCCAATAAAATCAGGAGGAAACTTTTATATTAAAGGACTTTTTATGAAAAATTATCATCAGGAGTGACTTATTTATGTAAAAGGCTTATGTTTAAAGTCTGAAGCTGTCAACCTAGATCAGGAGAATAAGACTATTACCTATTAGGGGAAACTGGCAGGGGGCTGGATGGGGCAGATAGTATGTTGATGCGTACGAGCAAAAATCCTTCACCAACCATATGTTTCCAAGGGAGATTAGGAAGATATATCAGGTAGGAAACAACACAGAATTACGGAAATACTGTCTATCTAGGGACAACAGGTTTTTACTACACTTGTAGACGACCACGGCTATATTATAATAAATAGGAGTATAAGATTAATTTTATAAATTTATAGATTCAAAGACGTACTAGTGGAGTATTTTTCTTTTTCCCTTTTGCATCCATTCTCCCTATTTGAAATCAGTATAAGAGTAGTACCATTCACCATGAGCAATGTCCACAGTGGCATCTGATATCATTCACCATTGATCTTTGTTGTGTGTCCTCTTTCTTCATAATGTAACATCAAATAATCTTTTTCTTTGTAATTTCAGTGGTCAGAAGTTTCTTCCTCTTGCCTGTCTCCATCAAGCTTTTTTCTTGTCCACACTGCTTTTGATGCTCAAAATTTTTGACATTTAGTGACTTCAAGAACCTTAAACCTTGCTTATATATTCATATCATCTTTAGACTTGATTCCTGAACATTAATATCTTTAGTAGAAGGCTTGTGACTGGGGAGAGAACCCTCTGCAGTGAAAAAGAAAAAAAAAATTGATCCTCTGCAATCTCACCATTAGTTTTCTAAATCTATTTAAAAATTATTCTATAAAGGAAACTAAATGAAAGGTTAGGATCCTTTGTAGTGGTAATGTCACTGCAGAGGACCCTTTCCCCTGTGACTCCTTGTTTGACAATTACAAACCATGTGATTTATGTCTTGAAAAGTGATAGATGGGGACTTGTTTTCAGAAACATCATATTTCCTTTCAATAAATCCTTGGTTACTTTTATTTCAGTTGTTTTTCAGGACAGTTGGAGATGATTCAAGAAGGTGGTATAAATTCTAAATTTTGTGACTATAGTCTGGGCAATTGTAAAATGGACTTGTCAAATCGTGATAAACAACTTCATGTTGCTGTGAAGAAGACAGCACTGAGAGATCTGCAGAATGATAATAAAATCATGGTGCCAACCTCTACTGGAAGCTCTTCCGTTTTAAAGGATAAGGATCCCGGTACTGATTCTAATAAAGTTTCCGGCACCAAGAGACCCTTGTCTGACTACGCTGTGAACCAGCATCTCCAGCAATCTCCAGGCAATAATTCTGCAAATGGACATCTTGTGTATGTCCGCAGAAAATCAGAAGCAGAACTGGGCAAGGGCACTGCTTTTGAAAATCCAAGTATTAGTGCTTACTGTTCACATTCGAAGCAACTTTGTTGTGGAGAGGAGACTGCTCAACCAAAATCTCAGATAAAGGAGCCACCTCAGATAAAGGAATCAAAGGTTTCTTGTTTCCCAGCATTTGCACCTTTTCCTATGGCTTCTTCAGTGAACTCATCTGGAAAGCCTTCAATTCCTATTTCTATTGGGAAATCTCCCATGAAGTTAGCACAGGTTGAGTCCAATTATGTGACATCTTCTGGCCATACTACCACCATTGGTAATCCTAAGGGATTAAAAAATTTGCACTGGGAAGAGCGATACCAACAACTGCAGATGTTTTTGAGGAGGTTGGACCAGTCGGACCAAGAAGAATATATCCAAAGTATGTCCCAGGAACCATAAAATGATAACTCAAATGCCTTATGAAGTTCTTGATATTTTTTTATAGCTGATATTATCCTTTGGCAGTGCTTCGCTCCCTGTCCTCAGTTGAACTTAGCAAACATGCTGTTGAATTAGAGAAGAGATCAATTCAGCTTTCATTAGAGGAAGGTAATGGAATAGTTGTTTTGCATGCTTACTTTCTTTATAATCATGGGTTAAAGTTGATTATTAATGTACACTGGATGTGGGGTGCGGAATTAGATATTAAATAACTTATGATTATTCACCATCAATCATGCTTATGGTGGTAGTTCAGTCAATGAGTGGGGTGTGGAATTAGTCATTAAATAAACTCTTATGATTATTCACTATTAGTCAGGTTTGTGTTAGTTCGATCAATATAAATCTTTGATTTATTTTGATGTCTTTTATTGCTCTTATGCTTGGGAAATCATCTGTCCTTGATGCAATCCATTACTAAGTTTACGCTTATCGGTTTATTACCTCTCTATTAACTTGATGCTTTATAGTTTATTTCCCAACGCCCTGTCTTGCTTCCAGCAATTTATGCTTTCAGGCTTTGGAGAGACAACTGTTAGCACTTTGACATGTTTGCTTCTTTTTCTCGTATTCATTTTTTTTTTCAAAAAGACATTTACCGTTACTATTCGCATATCATCATTATGGCCTAGTCTGGAAGGTAGAATAGGGAAATGGTATATTTACATTTTGTCCGAGTAGTAGTTGTCAGCATCCCCAACCTGCACGCCTGATCCTTATTAATTAATGTACTTTCAGCAACTATGTATCTCAGGTTTAGCCAAAAGAAAACAGGAAGCTGATGATTTTTTTTTCCCTCACGTGTTACTATGATGACAGCCAAAGAATTAAAACGTGTAGCTGTTTTAAATGTCTTGGGTAAATCAGTGAAGAACTTCAAAGCGCCAGCCGATCACGATGAATGTGCAGACAAGTTGAAGCCGTCATCATGATCTTCCCGATTTAGGCTGCTGTAAATTTTCGCAGGCAGTGGAAACTTTCTGATTTTTTATTGTGCTTAGTGTTTATGCTGATTGCGTTAAAATCTTCTGGTTGTCCAGTTGACAAAGAAATTATCTAACACCTCCTTGTTCGCGAAAATAAAAAACGGTGATTTATTGCAACTTGTACAGATTGGATAGCCTTGTTTCTTTTTGCTCATCTTACAGTGCCTACGAAAAATGATGTTGAGATATGAGATATAGACCACAATGGTACACATATTTAGGAAATAAAAATGTGTAGGTTAGGTTTGCTCATTTCAATCATATTTTTATTTTATGAAATTTCTGCTTTATTGGTTTACTGGATCCTTGTTTTTGCAAGGATAGTAGTATAACAAAAAGGTATACTGAGTTGTTTTGCTCATTTTTGTCTAGTAAGGTACTCTCTTAATTCAAATGTTTTAGTCATGAGAATTTTGAACACCAAAAACGGGCATTTGAATTTAAAGAATTCGAGGGGGCACCTGGCTGATCATTTTTTTCTTTTCTAAACCAGATATCTTCTAGATGAAAGTGTGAGACTAATAGAAGTCTCTTTGAGGCATTACAAATGAAACTAGGAGCAAATTCAAAAATATACGCCACATTATTGACTTAGGTTGATAAAACGGGTTAGGTTCGGTGGGTCGGTCTATCAGATCGTTGTAATATGACGAGATGAATTGGTGTTTTTAGCCCGTTTTGACCTGTGCTCGTCAACCCGCGGGACGGGAGGGGCTAGCATGTGACTTGCCTATTTAATAAAAAATATTTGTTTATTATAATAAAGTTAATTATAAAGATAATATATAAAATTAAAAATTTTAAAAAGAAAATTAAAAAATTTTCACTCTCACAAAAAATATTTTCTTTATTGAAACACAATATTCTCTCTTGTTCTCCTTGTTCATTCTAAGTACTTGGTTATTTTTATTTTTATAACTTGAATTAAAGATGTAAAAAGCATTCAAATGAGAATAATGAGAAGTTTTATCATATAAAAAAAATATAAATATTTGAATTTTTTAATATAAAAAATATAAGTTTTAACGTTATTTATTTATATATATATATATATATATATATTTGTTATTATTTATTATTATGTAAATTTGATTATTGTTCTAAATTATAATTTTTTAAAACAATGTATTGATTTATATTATTAAATTGAATTATATATATATATATATATATATATATGATAAACAAATAATAATCTTATTATTAAAAAATATTTTTTTTTTAAATTATGGCGGGTCGACTCATCAATCCGTCCTTTGACAAGATGGATCAAGGTCTACAATCCATCATGACTATAGCGAGTTAGTCAGCTCCATTCCGTTTTTGACAGACCAAAAGCGAGATTGACTAAAATGGAGCAGGCTAATCCATTTTGTCATCTCTAATTGACTTCACTCAGCACAGCACATGAGCCTAAATAAGCCATCCCTAATTGACTTCACTCAGCACGTAGCCTAAATAATAGTTTCGTGACATGCTAAATCTCTTTAACAAGAGGAGCACAAAAATAACTACCAATGCATCCATTAATACGTTAAAATCAGAATATATATATATATATAGATAGATAGATAGATAGATAGATAGATATTTCTGAAGCCTCTACATCACGGCAGCTTCATCCCATGAAAAATTGTTCACATCTCATCCATAAGCAGCTTTTCAACGTCCACACCCACGGATCCATCACAATTAAGAGCCATCTAACCTAGTTGGGATCCTAAAAATAATATGGGAAAGAAGAGATAATTGAATTTAAATATTTTATCTCTAGTTTTCTCTCATCTATACTTTTCTTTTCTCTCTTTAAATATTTTCTCACAAGTTATCTAAAATTATATAAAAAAAAAACTAATTAAATTTAAAAAAATTCAAAATAATTTAAAAAATTATTTTGAATAATAATATAATATAGTCTAAATATAAATGAAATACAAAGTTTATATTTAAATTATTTTTAAACTAAGTTAAATATTTTTAAAATTATAAATAATATCAACATGGAGATATAGTAATGTATTGATTGATATAAAAAATAGTTAATTATATGAACGTCAATCCAGTAGTGTATTAAATATGAAAAAAAAATTATTTATTAGAAATATTAAATTATACAACATTTATCCTATAGAAATATATATATATATATATATATATATATATATATATTATCTAATTAATAAAATAAATTATTTATAATTTTAAAAATATTTATCTTTGTTTAAAATATATAAAATAATTTATTTTATTTTAAATATATATTTTATTTCGATATAAAATAATTATATCAGTATTTAAAATAAATTCACGAATATATTTTAAATTATAATCTAGAAAAATATTAAGTTACTGTGAAAAATTAATTAAAAAAAGAAAAATGTGAGAAAGAATGAATGAATAAGAGAAAATTTAATGAATTATTATATTTTAAATGAATATGTGTAAATATAAGATGTGAGTGATGTGTATGTAGTCGTTCTCCTCGTCGTATCTATTCTGACATATGAGGAGCAAACATTTGACATGTTTGACATCACACTCTCTTTGGTTCTCTCCACTTCGCAATATCAATAAATATTGCAGATTTCACAGTTAACTCACAATCCAAAATAAGTCTAACCAAAAACTCCATTGTCCACATTCGAGGAGGATCCACCTTCATAATTCTCACCCATTCTCATGTAAAGAATGTTGTAGCATGGAGAGATTTATTCCACAATTATTTTTTATTTTTTACTTTTCGGGATTAAACAATTTTCTTCATCCAACAATTTTACGCCTCCAGAAATCCATTTGTCACTCTACAACTTCATATTTGATCTCTTACCACAATACAAATCATATGGAGAAGTCTCTCAAGTGTAATGATATCGTGGTTTCATAGAAAAACCTAATAAGACATTATTATTATTATCAACGTTAAGAAAGTTGTCCCAGTGTGTGAAGTTCTAAGATTGAGTATCCGATTTGATAAATGATTGAGATGTATTTAATTGGTCCACTTCCCAGTGATTCGTTGAAAAGAAAAAGAAAAAGTTTCGGAAAATAATATTAACAAAAGGAGAAATATATCTTAAAATAAATTAATCTAAAAAGTTGGTGTTAAATAAGTGTAGTTGAATTAATTAAATAAGATACGTGAATTGTTGTAAAGAGATGTATAAATTTAGTTGAAATAGTTGGTGAGATCCATTATTTATTTATTTATTATTATTATTATTATTAAAGTAATGAAATAAAAATAAAATATTAAATTGGTGTACATCTATTGATGATGTAATTGAGATAGGAGGAACAAAGTGTGCAGCCAGTGAGAATGCAAAGAATAGATGGATTGTTTTTGCATTAAACCATGGATTTGAAAGAATAAAAAAAGATAAAATTAATAAAAAAAAGTTTATGAAAGATTGTAAATGATTTTATTGATATAAATAAATAAAAAATATTTTAATAAAAAGAATTATAAAATAAACAAATTATTATTTGAATAAAATTTATTATTATTATTTAAAATATTATATTTATTTAAATTATTTTAATTTTAATTATTATTATAATTATTTAATTAAAATAATAATTATTATTATTATTATAATTTATATATAACATATTACTGACTTTTCCTACCTTTTTCTTTGACATAAATCTGAAGATAAAAAAAATATTTGGAACTGCAAAATTTCTACGTCAATAAATCAAAATTTGGAAGCTCACATTTCCGTCTTTAGATCCAAAGAGATTCTAGGAGAAGAGTGGCGTAAGTAATGAGGACTTGGCGGAGACATTATAAAGCAAAAAAGAGAAGAGAAGAGAGGGATTGTGAATGATGAGAGAAAACATTAACTTGCTTCTAATGTCACTCAACATAAAATCATTGATTGGGTCAACATCAAAGAGGAAGTATACAGTAACACACTATGATTAATGCTTTTAATACAAAAACTTTGTGCGAAAACACGTAGGTATAACTCCTCACATCCTATTCTATGTATTTTTTTTTTGTTTCAATGCTGTTAATTACCATTTCGCCGCTTATAATGTCTACGTCAAATCACACACAAACACACGTAAAAACGTCGCTGTGCAAGAACTGTTCTCTTCCCTTATAATTTCTATTTCATTTCCTTTTCAATCACTAACCCCAAATTCAACACTATTAAATCGCTTTCTACCCTACTTACATTTTCGTGTGCTTTCTTCAAAAAAATTTCATCCTAAATCATAGACTGCGACACAACTCATGGGATAAAAACCAACTTTATTTTATTTAATAACATAAAATTAATTAAATACTAATAATGATATCCCGATTCCATGGTGTACTTAAGCTTGCCGGCCAAATAAATATATATTAAATAATCCCATAAATAGTTTTCAAATGTAAGTATAATATTGTGTCCTAGACATGGATGAAAAATATTATGTTAAAAAAATAATGAATGAGGTTGTGTGGCATAGGAATCTAAAGTGAGGAAGTGATGATTCAGAAGGATTCCAAACGTGGAATTGAAATTTTTTAACAAAATAAAAAAATGATTATAGGCAAAGGTTCCCCCCACCCAACGTGGCTTCACGGAGCACTGAAAGGCACATTCGTAATATCATAATACTAAACTTTTAAAGGCGACATTAATTCTTCACCGCAACCACAACAGTGACCTCTCATTAATTTTTTATTTTAGGACGTGTCATCAAGATATTACCCATTACTTTCAATAATTTTAATTTACTGTCAAAACTACTTTTCTTCGTCTTTTTATTTTTCTTTCATCGCCTTTATAATTATTTTATATTATATTTCCTTTCAAATCTCCACTGATCCACATTATATATTAGATCCGGATTATTAGCAAACTAAATAACACTCAACTCAAGTACCAACACTGCCTTTTTCTTTCCATTCTCTATTCTTATTTTTCCTTTTACTTTTTTTTCTTTTCTAAATT